CATTGTCTTCTATTTAGTCAGAGATTGGGTCTACAGAAACATCATTCACATTCATAACCAATTACCATCCTTCATAGTCAGATGACTTACTCAGAGCTCGGAGAGCTCTCCTAACCTGTGACATCATTCCATACTTCCCATGATTATTCTGTTACATCTGAATAGTAATTATTTAGACATTTAATTTCTCCATTGCTATATTTTACTCTTTAAAATCATTTCATTGTGACTTGATTATAAGTTTACTGAGTTGCTATTCAGAAAAGGCGCTGAGGTCTTTGGAAAAGCTATATTGAATTGTAAATAAAATACCGTACTTTTAAAAATAAGGTTTCATCAAATATTTTCACTTCACCCCATGAGTTTAAATCTAAGAACAAATTACATTTTAAAAAGATCGTATTTGTGCTTGAAGGCTGCTTAATTAAAGAGTTGTCTAAATTTATCATGCAATTAGCGTTTACAAGAAATAATGTGTAGTCTAACTTCAAAAACACTACCCTGAACTATTCTACGTTTTCTCTTTATCAGGTATAACAGCTATTTTACAATGCATGTTTATTAAACAGTAAAAATAAAAAGAATGTTTTTACCAGCATCAAAATTATGTTTGATAACTTATGAACGCCCAAGCTAAGGGGCTATCAAAGAACAGAGTTTTATAAATGGGAAGAAAAGTAAATAAGCTAAAGGAGGGGTAAATGTGATTGGAATCGAGTATTTTATTAGTTCCAATTCAATGCTTCCTCAAAAACATTTGATGTGGATTCGGGGGAAATCATTATTAGGATCTCGAGTTAAAAAGATTGCACTTACTTGAACTGGCTTTAAATATTTAGAAATTGTTAGCCTTTTATTTAAACTTATTCTTCTACTAAATTTTTATTTAAATGTCCCTAGTAGCACAAATATATATTAAATACATATGAATAAATATATTTAAAATCTATTTTATATATCTCAAGTGTGTAATAATGTCAATTGTATATAATATTTAAAATATATTAAATATATAAAAAATATGTTTTTGAATCTTATAAATATTTAAAAAATATGTTCCAATAATATATTTTAGTGAATAATATTTAAATAAAAAATGTATTTAATATCTCTTACAAACATCCCATTGGGGCCTAAACATAAAAACACAAAATAATAATGATTTAGTATGAAAAACACAATTATCAGTTGAGTAAATTGATTAAATAGTTCATAAAAACAAATTTTGAAAAAATTACTGGATAAAATTTTTTTAGCCCAGGTGGGTCTCGAACCTGGGTCCTTCGACTTATGAACCTCCTACCCTTACCTCTGAGCTACAAGTGACTGTTGTTAGCATTAGTTTTCAAATGGTGAAAGAGTGGCCCTCAGTTGCAATGGTTGCAATACTTGAAATATTTTTGATACTACAGTATAATATGATTCTGTTAATCTGTTTTGGCATCAAGTAGTTGAGTTGAATAGTGCTGTAGTGAATAGTGAGTAGTCTCCACGAATACAAATACAGTAAACTACAAAAAATAATTTAAATACTATGACAAATATTATGTAATTTATGGCATATGTAAATCAAATAATTATTTTTAGAACGTCATATACAACCGTAATTAGTTTCTTAAAAGGTCGCCAGTCACTAGCACCCTTTTCTAGCCAATCATTCGAGATTTCTATGATCACATTCATTGTCACATATTGCAATTAAAAAATGTAAACCCATCAACACTTTTTTTCGTTTGAACCAAATGTAGCTGTCGAACATGTATACTGCCTCTTAACTATATGCTATTTTTTTTCTTTACGTGTATGATAGAGTGACACCATTCAGAGTAGGCCTACGTATTAATATTAACTTAATTTTAACGCTTTCACAATAGCAATTATCATACAAAAAATGCATGTATAAATTGATGGACACTATAAAAAACAAAAAGATGATAATTATTTATTTGCTAATTATAAAAGATTATAGGCTATATATTTTACAAATATAATATTATTTTATTAATAAAAATATCTGAAGTGTTTCAAAATATATTTATAAATAATTTAAATATATAATATAGTTTCAAAAATATTGTATATATATATTTAAAATATTCTCAACACATAATTTTTTTAAATATTTAATAGGAAAAATATACATATAAAATATGTATATTATAGATTCTATACTTGTTTTATCAATATATATTATGAATCTATTTTATATATTCAAAACTTATATTTAATTTATATTTTGCATTGCTTTTTGGTAATATTTTTAATATATATTTGAATATATCAAACTATTATTAAAGATATATTTTATATATATTTTATTTGAGGTTCTATCAAATACAACTTTAAATATATAAAATATTTATAAAATACATATTTGTGCTACTAGGGGTAATTCTTGTAAAATGTCACATTAATGAAATTTACGACTTCACCTTGTCACTAAGGTAATTTTGTATTTTATTACATTTTATATTGCCAAACATAAAAAAACACTATTCTACATGTTAAAATCCATACTGAATGAATACATATCTTATTGCAATAGTTAGGCTATAAGCTAGTGGTACATGTTTAAAAGATTACTTTTTCTATATATGGTAGTTTGAAATCATGCATACAAATTACTCATACAGCAGGAAAGGTGTTTGATATGTGGTGAACTGATCTTCTTGAAAATATTTTAAATTTAAATGTAGATAAATAAAACTTACTACTAGGTGAACAAAAAATGTAGGCTATTAGATGGTATTGGGTACTATCATAGACAAAAATTCTTTTTGTCTATGGTACTATACTGTTTACAAGAATTAATAGTGAAATATAACATTTGGTAAATAACATATGTTAAAAAAAGTACTGTACTAGAGGAAAACATAAGTTAAACAAAGTACTAGAGGAAAGGAAAACAGATGTTAAACAAAGTACTGTACTAGAATAAAACATAAATTAAACAAAGTAGGTACTATAGGAAAGGAAAACAGATGTTAAACAAAACTGTACTAGAATAAAACATAAGTTAAACAAAGTACTAGAGGAAAGGAAAACATAAGTCAAACAAAGTAGCTTTATACTATAATAAAATGTTACAGATCAAAAGAGAACAATTAAATGTTTTTAACAAATAGTAACATAATTTAGTATGTTATGTCAATAATATAGGCCTAATAATAAAAATAATAAAATCCTGAAGCAAACCTGCTGACTAAGCACATTGCTCTTTGCCTGATCAAATTTTTAATGAAATAATCTGCATGTTACATTTATTCCCTAAAATTAGGTTTAGTGCTACAAGGATTGAAAAGTGTCTTTTCAACCCTTGCTCATTTTCCAACCTAGCCTTCTCCTCAAATCATTAAACTTGAGCTCGGGTCGAAAAGAGTCACTTACCCCCTAGTGATGAAATAACATACTATTTTTATGACCTTGGTACTTGCAAAGAACAATTTTACTCGTGTCTGTTGGGTTGTGTGACCAAAAAAACTGAACAGCAACAGTACACAGACCGGCGGCCTGCTACAATTAATTGGAAATTACGTCATCAAATATTTCTTTTATGGATGTGTATTCATCTCCTATCTACCTTTTAGACATCTGGGGCCCATTTCATAATAAACTACAAGTTACAACTTGTAACTTGTAATTTCCATTAGATTCGCATTGGGCGATCAGCTGATTTACTAATAATATTAGTTTGTACTTTATTATGAAATGGGTCCCTGGACACATTTACTTGTAAGTATAAAAATTTTGTTTAGCATTTTAGGTGCTTATACCGGAGTGGACGTGTTACTAGCTATAAGTACGATTCTAATTCAGTTTTGCCTCTTTGATCCTTGGTAAGTGTTGTATTAACTGTTTCTTAAAGTAGATTTTAAAAACCAAATTATTTTATTCTTCTGTATTCTCACCCCATATTCATAATGCAAAGCATACTTCTAACAGGGGATCAGTAGGACAAATTAAAGACAAGTTTTTGCTGAATAACATATCACTGGACTTTGCCCAGGTGAGCTGATTTTCTATCTGTTGGCGGGCAGTTTTTAATTGTACAATATAGGGGTTCAAATATCCTAATAGCCCACTTACTGATTTTTTTCTGTTTAAGAATAAAAAAGTCATTAAATTTCAAAAGAGAATCACAGCCAAGCTATGAATTTGATATACAAAATATTGACATTAAAATCTCACACAACTTGACAGGTAGGCCAGCGCCACACTATCCAGTTTTGCTGGTCCGGTCAAATGGGACATGTTTGGCTGGATGATTTGAACTCATGGGTTTTAATGAGCGCAGTCACATTGTTGCGGTTGCGTGGCATCAACGGGATCCACCGCATGCTGCTGCGAGCGTAGCGGGTCGACCGGACGAACGGTGAAACACATGCAGTTAAATGAGAGCAGTCACACTATCCTGTTGTGCCGCGCATTTATCATATTCGACACAGACAAGGTTATTGAATGTGTCCACGATCTTTCTTCAGCAGTGATGGAATTCTTAAATTGTGTACTGATCTTTGTTAAATGTGGCCTCAAAACCTGCAGAAGCTTATCAAAAGATGTGATGGACATTCTATAGCCAAAAAACTTGCAAGGATATTGCATTATACTTTGATAAAAACTCTTAAACTGTTCATCTCTATCATTTTCACAATGAAAAGAGTGTACCCAATAATGCCTAGGTAAAGGTTTTCGCAACAAACCACTTTCTTCAAGAGCAATGACAAATTGAACTTTGTACAAGATAGAAATGTTGTCGCTGTCAACAGTGCATGTAATGCTCGCATGTGCTTTCACTCGATGTTTAATTGTTGCAGTAGAACAGGACAGTGTGACAGGGCAATGTCAATGTGGTAAAAACGCATCACCACCCCCCCCCCCCCTGCATTTCCCGCTCAGCCGCATCCCGCTTAACGGGATAGTGTGGCTGTCTTAGATCTACAGGAAACAAATCATCCAAAGTGAGTTTTTAACATTAATTAATTTATTTACTAACTGTACACAATTCCTCATAAATATGGTACAACTGTACAACAATCAACAATCACCTAAGTACAAACAGTTCTTTAGCTAAGACTCTTACAACAGAGTCTGAATTGGACTAGGGTGGTGAAAATGCCACCTTACATTGCCTAACTTTGTTGCTACGTATTTGTAGCAATGTATTATGTATTATATACATGGTCTCTTTACTTGAACAGAGGACTTAGAACTAAACATAGCAGATCCAATAAGGGATGTGTAAAGGCAACAAAACTACTTTACAACATTACACAGCCATTTTTAGAAGTAAAATATAAACAAAAGATATTAAAATGAGAAGACCCTAGTGAGATTAAACAAAAATGTAGACAGCTTATTGAAGGTGAAGGTAGTTTAAGAAACTTACAGGGAGTTTGCATACAATTTTTACACTTCGTTCTAATTAAGCATACTTAAAGTACTGTATAATGGAAAAGTTGAAAACGTTTTAACAAAATGATTAAAAATATATTTGTATAAAAATGAATGTACATATAGATAATTATTAACCAAAATTAACGTTACAGATTTTTATTTAAGAGTTCATAAAACTATTTTATGGCTTTTAGTAGGGAAAACCAAGAAATATCCTTCTTTTGGTTTCGGGTAGGTCCCTCTCGTAATGTATTTAACAAAACTTATGGGATAACAAAAATATGTATAAACACCAAAAAAATTTTAAACAAATTTTAAAACACATTTTAGAGAACATGTTAAAAAACCTAATACAAACCATGCCTCTAAGAAGAGCTTATTTTCATGAAACCCCCTTTAACAGTGTGTGTCAAAAGTAAAATCATAAAAACAAAGACAAAACATTTCTTCGACATAATTTCAAATTCAAGTTACAAGAATATTGCTAAACAAGATAATAAATCTTAAATACTTTTGCACCAATGGCAGGTCAGGGACACTATTCTGACATCTGGTGGTTAGTTATATTGGGTCAGTGCTAACGTAGCCTAGGCAGGGGAAGTGTAACACAAAATACATTTTGGGGCAAAGGTTAGGTTTTGGAAGTCTTCAAAAAAAGAATTTACAGTAGGACTTTTGAGAAGTGATGCCAATGAAAAAAACAGACTCTTTTCTCTGGCTAAGAGGTATTACCTTTTTCCTAAAGGGCAACACCTTAATTTGAGCTTTGAAACAGCATTATGAGGGGGGAAATTGCCATTAGTAATTGGGAGGAATTGAATCTCCCTCTAACCATTTGAAAAGCTGCACCTTAGTGTAAATCAAGGTTCACACAAGAGATTGGGATCTTGAACTTCAGCACTGAAACTTTAGCCAATGATGACCCAACCTAAAGAGACAGAACACTTCCTCAATGAATGTACACAGTGAAATTCCAAAAACCTCTTTCCTTTGAAAATATATGAGTTTTCATAAAGTAAAGAAAACATCAATTTGCTAGTAACAAAAATTATTTCACAATTAGGCCTACAAAAGTTTAGAATAACAATAAAATGTTTTTCTAAATTAGATATTCTTGATAAATTGTAGTTAAAATATTATTATCTGGGTAAACAGAAAATGTATTTGTTTACATTGTGAACAGAACACTTTTGCTTGAAAAAAATCAGAATTAACATTTTTCTATATCACTAATTATTATTGCTACAAAATGTAAAGCTTTTTCAGATTAGAGATTCTGTAGATAATTATTGATCTAGATTAGAGATTCTTGTTTTTATAAGATGGTTTTCACACTATTACAGCTACTATAGTGATATCACACACTAATAAACACAGTGTATTAACTTTAATAGCTTCCTAACATCTTGAATATATCAACAAAGTTAAGAATACAAACACAGTAAGATTTTGACCTTTGAGAGAACCTCAATAACAAGAGATCTGTCAAAGCCCAAAACATTATATCACACCTTTTAAGTATACACAAATTTATTAAACGCATTGGTATCATATTCACATCTAGCTTTTATTTCGGCAGAATATCTCTTAGTTTCGTCACACAAGTATTGATTAACTATGCAATTAAAATATCACCAAACAAACAAAAACTATAAAAAAGACACTTAAACACAACATTATCATTGGTTCTGATATAATTTATATTTACATACATAAAAGTTATGTATGTCAACTATAAGATCCACTATAAGAAACAAAGATTAAAGAAAAACAAACAAAATAAGTCACAAAATCAATATAGCAACAGGAAAATAACAATACACAACAAACTCTAGCTGTAAAAGACAACAAAACACAGAATACTTCAATAACAAAGAAAACAATATGAGCAAAAGAAACCCTGAACAATAACTTGTCTTAGTCACTTTAATCAATAAGAAGTATTGTATTGATAATTGTTATTATACTTCTCATAATCAATATTAGTAGAATCATTGTTCCTATGACAATGTATAGCGTCTCTGGTTCCTGGTCAGAAACCGATGAGAACCTCTTTAGCGAAGGAGTGGGGGGCGTGACAGCACTCTCTTCTCTTGAGAGAACACCATTACAACGATACACAGTGCAGCCATCGGTGTCCGTGGCGTAGTGGATAGAGAACTCGGCTGATATTCCTGAGGTATCCAGAACGAGTCCCACCTGTGACACTAACTTTTTGTCGCGATTACTTTTGAACTGTAAATCTTTTGTTAGAATTTGAGGCATTTATAATTTAATTTTATGGACAGAACTATTTTTTCGATTAGTAAACCTTCATTCAATCTTATCTTTTTTATATTATCAGCAAGTTTGGTTGGTTAGATTAGGTTATGACAGTTAAATTTTATAATGAACGTGAGGGTCTCTCCCACAATCCCCCACTCCTTCGCAGAAAAGGTTCTCATCGGTTTCTGACCAGGACCCTGAGACGCTAGTATAACAATGGATATACTTGTTGAGTCTGCCCTACATAAGTAAAAGTATTAAAACTTAGATTAGGCCTAATTGTTTAACTGAATATTTAACACACTCAGTAAACCAAGCATAAAAAATTATTACAATAATGAACAAATTCCACCATACAGATTTATAACCCTAGTCGCCTAGGTATATTTTGTTTTTTAAAACGTTTTAAAATAGTCCATTACAAAAGTAATGTGACAAAGGATAATTAGAAACTAATCACATGGGGAACTTCTTTTAGCCATGACTGTTCTTTGGATTTTTATCAAGGAACCATTATATGAAAATTGTTGATACTAGTTAAAACTACACAAACTATTTTGTTTGGAAACATAAATGTAAAATAACGAGTGTGGGACTAGTAATCATAAAAATAGGTCCTGCAAAGCTCAGGCAGTGCAATTAAACTACTTACTTCATATTTAATACTGATAACTAATTAACACGTTCGCTGCGGGCCATCAAATGGCAGGCGTAGCCCCAGTGCGGCGCAACCCGCAGCGTCGAACAAACCCGATTGCCGGGTGATTGGCTCTCGCTCTCATATTTCGGTATGACAAATAGCAAATAACAAGCGGTGATGTCCTGCTTTATAACAAGAGTCGACGTAGTTCGCTAAACACTCACAAATAGCAGCACTGCTTGGAACGTAGCAGGTCCCATTGTATTGCCAATTGGAAGGAAGAAAGACGGAACAACAAGTTGATTTTTAAGTTTGCCAGATGGGGATTTTATGGAGAAATTATACTATCAACCTACAACACAACCAAAATCAAGTCACCCACTACACGCTAACGTGGTATAGGTCCGCCTTCGACCGACGCTATAGCAAAAACGAAGATATACGAAAGGCATTGCCGAGTGTATCCGATCGGATACGCCCGCTGTGAACGTGTTAATTACACAAAAAGATCTGTTCATCTATTTATTACCTAGAAAACTGAGTAGTAAAAGTATCGTCTTTGAATATGTGTTTAGTTGAAAACAAGAATGAAGATTATCCGCTCTACATAGTACACTCATTACAGAAGCCTACAAAAACTATTTATCGAAATTAAATGACAACAGACAAATAAAATGAAATAAACTTAACAAAGTATGGTAAGAACCGTAGGACCTATATTGCACAAAAAGTAACTATTAATGTAGAGTATTTGTGAATGAACATTCTATTACATGCACCAACAGTTAGGCCACCTTAATTTGAACTATTAGCAGTCATTTAAACAGCCTTGTGATCATGTTCAGAATCAACTCTGTGAGATGATTAGGTTTTTGTAATATTTTTTATGAAATCTACTAAGCATTGTAGCTAATTGGGCTTCAGACCTGTCCTTAGCGAGAAATGTATTTTGTGTCTTAAGCGTCGTTCTCACGTTTTGTCCAATTATAGATGACCTCGAGGGGTCTTCAGATGTAGAGTCATCTGATGATTAGCAAGACAGAAAACGGTTCCAACATTATACTTGGCAAATGGCAGATCTAGGCCTTTCACGACACGACAAGCCACAACACATCTCGTGAAAACAAAGCTTTAACAGGCAAAATTTGCTCAAATAATCCACTGATACCAAATGATCCAGAAGTTCTGTTGTTTCCACCAAGGCAAACAAAAATCCCCTACACGATCCAAAACCCTGAACCCCAAAGCCAATAAGTTTTTTAGTCAGCCCTTCTTTTGCTAAAAATATATTTTAATCTTTGTAACTGCACTTAAATTTCACCTTGAGCAAAAATAGGCTTTCATTCCGACTGAACCAAAAAACCATCATCTCACATGTAGATCCTAACTACTAACACATCTCAGATCGATTTGCTACAATTCCTTGTAGTCAGATCAAATAATTAACTAAAAGCTCGAGTTTTCTCAGCTTATAAAATTGTGTCTAGCAATTATCTTAGTCAACAATTCGCTATAGGCCGAATTTGTACTATTAATAGATGGACTGCAAAAGCTAGATGTGAATTCACATTGGACTAGGGGCTAACGGAGTTATTTCGTCACGACTTGTATATCGGCAAAGGATGTCCTTCGGTGTTCATCACCCATTTATCAATGTCCACCAGTTTCCTGTTGTCTGAGAATAGAAGATAGAAGTATTTGATCGTCTCGCTGATGAAGAAAGACTCCATCATGTCTCGTGGTCTGGTGTCTAGAGGGTTGTTGACATTGCCGATGGATGTGTAGCCACCATCAGGGACTTTGGTGTACCTCTCGAATGCCTGTAGCAAGGTAACAATATAGTTGTTTAGTAGTTATGATGAATTCATTCAATGCCAACACAACATTGTGCATAGTTTAGGGTCACGTTGAGTTAACAAAGAGTGTTGAATGAATGAGCTGACTAAGATCAGCTAATCCCTTAGCCAGGACCATTTACTAAAAGCCCAAGGACAGCTAGGTACAGCTTTGAACCTTGATGTTTCAAAAAGCTAGTGACATTTCTCAGGATCAGACTAGCTACACTCTTTATATTAGTTGAGCACCATAACCTGTGGGCTACCCAGCTAGTGCTGGTACATTACGACAGTTAATTATTTGAATTTAGAAGTATTTTTTTTTATCAATGTTTTTTTCCTTTACTCACAATTAAAATTATTCACCTAAGATGCTGATGAAATCACCTTATACAGGCACTTAGATATACAACAACATACCTTGTATATGTTCCAGCCCCAGTCCTGGTAGGTAGAATTGCCTGTGACCACCCACATGTACCACAGGCTCTCTATAAACTCTGGCCGCAGCAAGTTGTGTGCATCGTTGGTTTTGACATACATATCTGGCTGACTTTCATCCTCCTTGTTTGGCTGAAACAAAGTAAACCAGGTGAATATCATAAAAGAAACTTTTTTGGGAGTAATATTTTATCAGGGTGGCCACTAAACTCTGGGGGAAAATTGACACATTTTTCCCTAGCAAAATTTGGTTTTGCTTGTTCTGTGTATGTTTTACTTCACCATCTATTCTGTATGCCGTGTAGTATGTTTGTAAATATAATTTTATCCAACCCCCAGCCGCAGCCACAGGTTGTTATATACACAGACATTGAGCATTAAAATAAATCTTTATCTAGAATGATTAGTTTTAGCTCATCAACATACCCAAAGGGGAAATCAACCAAATGGTTTGGTTGTTGTCAAGCCATGGAGCAATAATGAAATACTAAACAACCAAGGAATGAGGAATAAGAGCCAGCCGAACAGACCAATGCAGACTTTGTGCAACAGGGGTCAAATCAACCTATCAATTGAATCAAACACACAAACACAATCCAGCTCTAGAATCCAGAGATAGTTAGAATTCTAAGAAGGGTGACCATGAGGCCAAGGGGAATAAGAGGAATTAGTGTCTATCAGCTGGGTGGGTGTGGTGGTTTTGCTGAGACCCTCAAAGCTAAAGTAATGAGATGCGGGTTAGGCCAAAAGGTCGAAGTAGCTACCTAATCATAAAAATATATGTATGGAGCAACAGCAAAGCATGAAAATTGTATGATACCACATGGTGAAAATTAATTAAATTGGAGGCAAGAGAAATGTGAGAGAATGGAGAGAGGAAGGACAGAGAAGGAAATTATCAAATTTCCCTAGTAATGGTTTTGGAATAAAAGACAGATTTAATTCACATCAAAAATGTTTTTTGGATAGCATAAATTTACCTTGAAGTTGAAGAACGTAATCTCTGGAGCTAGGAACGTAGGTCTCTGAGCATATGTCTGGTAACAAGTCTCCATTAGGTCCACAGCCATGGACAAGTGCTCTTCCGGCATCCCATAGTGAACCCCCAACGCCAACATGCCAGGCACAAAACACACCAGGTGGTCCTGTGGAACAGCATTATTGAGTTGTGATTTAAATAAAAATGTTTTAATACCTGTAGTAATAAAGAATGATCATTGTTCCCTTTTGTCAGATGACCACTAGTTTCAAACCTACATGTATCTTATCCAGCTGAGTATATAGTTAATTATAACAATCGTCTCTATCCCTGGTGTCCTGTATAATGGACTGTATAATGTTGTGGAGTCCTCAAAACACATGTATAGACTTAAATAACAGACGCCAAAAACACAGACATTAAAAGTGTGGTGTGGCAGGCAGACGGCAAACCATGGCTGACAATTCTTAACCTTTTTATTTATCAGGGTGTTCAAAAAAGGTGGGGACATAATTTACAAAGTTATTTCTTGAACCAAAATAAGGAGAAAATCAAAAATAAAAGTTTTTCCAAATCGCTTAATTAACCAGATATTTTTTTCCATAAACATTTTTATCTTTAGATTGTTCCAACTGATCTTAACGAAACTTTGTTAACGAAGTTAAGTTCAAAGGGAACCATGCTGGAAAAAAATTATGTTCAGGGTGATAAAAACTTATTAAAATCTGGTTTGAAAATTGAAGGAGTTTTCCAGTAGAATTAAAGGAAAATTCCTAAATTTTAAGAACTAACTACTATTGGAACCCAACTTTAAGCTTTATCACGCCATTTTATATAAAAAAAAAAATTTAAAAAGATACATAATTTGTTTAACTAATGTATTTAAAAAATATAATTCAGAAATAGAAAGTTAGAAATTGTATTATTTATTTTTTCAATAACTGGTAGGCAATATAACTTTGAAACAAAACTTTTCCAAGGCATAATATTTACAACATATTAAACATATACAATACAACATATTAAAACAGTGTTACTGGTAGGTTAAGCGACACCAGTTATCATCTCCCACGATCGAGGCAATACCCGTGAGCATATTTTACGGTTTCTGACACACCGATAATTGTTTCCCGAGAACACGGCAACACCTGTGAACAAATTTTGTGGTTTTGGCGACACCGATGATCGTTTCCCGCTATCATGGCAACACCAGCGGCAGTCTTTCGTTAAACGTTGTTTCTTATGGCCGGGCTCCGGATTCCCGGAGGTTTTGGTAAATTCATGGAGTTTTCCAGGATATTTCAAGGTAAGATAAAATTCACGAATGTTTCCCAGTTTTCCCGAATTTCCCGGAGAGTAGACACCATGATCTTGGTCTAATCTAAAATTTCAAAATGGCGGCCATTTTCATTTTTTAAACTGAAATTATTCCTGTTTTGTTGTAAAATAAAGTAGAATAAGGATAAGCTAGTCAGATTACGCTTCTTTTGCCTTATTTTACAACTAAAATTCTAGATATTATGGCTATTTCTATAACACTTTTATTGCTTTGACCGCAAGATATGCTCACCAGTGCTGCCTCATTTGCAGGATACAATCATGATACAGTATTGATATAAACCGCAAGATAGACTCGCGAGTTTTGACACTTTCGCTAGAAACGATCATCGGTCTTAACTATAAATTTTTATATTTTTAGTAGCCTATGCTAACTTTTGAAAGGTCGTAAAAATTCTGGTTGCGGGCCGGATGTGGCTCACAGGCAAGCCCCTGCCGACCTGCAAGTTTTAACAGTCCTTGTGTACTAGAAGTAGGTAGTACAGCAACAACTTGTTTTGTCCCTTTATGTAAGCTACAGGAGTCTAATTTTCCAGGTTAATATGTATTCAAAAACTTCTCTGTAACCTTCAACCCAATGACAATATTCTTTTATTCCTCCTATTTTAAGGTTGTGTCGTTTTACATATTTTGTATTTATGCAACACAATATTTCATTTTTTAAACCAAATAAAAGCAAAAAAAGAAAAATATGTGACCTTCTCCTCTATTTTATCACAATGAACACAATCCTTATAAGAAGGGAAATGGTTATGGAGAACAGTCAGACTGTATTTAGTCACTGAAATTAGCTTTGCACAGTCGTCGCTGGGTAAAAGCTAATCTTTCGCTTTCTTCTCTCCTTCCCTGTCTCACTGACACTGCTGTGGTTTCTACTGATGCCGCTGCACAGTGGCAATAGCAGCGGCCTTTGCTACCTCTCAGTGGCCAATGGGTTAACAAAACACAATTTTTAAAGATATTCTAATAAAATGGGTAGTTTTCTACACAACTAAGAAGGGTTTTCTTGTTATTTGTGAAAGTAATTGATGTCCTTGTGAAAGACTTCTATTCAAACTTAACCTATAATTTTTAATTTGAAATGGTCTAGTCCTATTGCATGTATGCGGTTACCATCTCAATAAATAATTTTATTTCACCATACTCTATTTACTTCCTCTCCGTGCATTACTGTACTAGAACCCAACTGAAACCAACGTTAATAACATTTTTTTTATCAATAAGTAGATTAATCATACTGGTACCCTATTTGGTTTATATAAAGATTTTATCATACAAATACTATTTTACCATTTTAGGAACAAATTCCCTGCCGCCAGAACTCTTAAGCTCTCCAATGAACAGCAAGTTTTTAGTTGGTGTGCGCTTCGCAAGGCGTTTCTTGATTCCTGCGACTGCCTTCAAATAATCCTCCTTCAGGCTGAAAATATAAAAGATTTTTCAATCAGTAGTTATTGTACATATGGTATTTGCTTATCAATATGAATTAATTAAAAGAATGAGTGTGTCAAGGGTGAGGGGCATTTGGTTCCTTCTTAGGCCTCAAGTACAATAAAGACAATATGCATATTGGAAATCATGAGAATCTTATATTGGAAACTCATTTAATCAATTCATTCAAATAAACAGTTTTTTTTTTTTTTTTTTCATAACAAAGTTTGTTATAATTAATGTGAATTATCAATTCACAAGGCAAATCACAATGTTAACATCAGGAATGAGCATTTTTATTGTAAATGGGTTTAGTCTTTTTAACAAAGTTAAATTCGAAATTCAAACAATAAAATCCAGACGATAGACGCTCACTAACCTAGCACGTTTGGACTATGATGGTGACAGATTTGGGAAAATGTCTGATTATTGAACATTCTATGCTAAAACCACCTGTTATTGCAATACTAGCGGAAATAATGCTATTTTAAAAAAGTAAATCACAAAAGTAAAGATAAATCATTGCACAGCGTACCATTATTCTGTGTTTTATCGTGCAATAAAAACTAAACAAAAAATTGTAAACACCCTGGAATTCTATTGTTTCTAATGTCTGCCGTACGCTCTTATCATCTCCTGTTCACTCAAGCTCTGCCGATGGCTCCCGACTTAGCTGATGGCCCATGCTATTATTGATTACTCCTGACTCTACCACTTGTTCTCAACTCACCAGATCGCTCCCTACTTTTCCCATCACTCCCGACTCTGTCCGTCCCTTCCAACTCTCCCAATTGCTCCTGACTCTATTAGCAAAACACGATAATATGGCTTACAACATTTTATTTTGACTTTTAGCCGGTTTATTGAAACCCCATACCATTGGATATCATATTAGCACGCATTTACTATAGTTGATAATAGTGGCCAAGCAGACCTTGGACCACACAAGTGGCTTAGGCAGCTGATGTTGAAACAACTGCATGCTGCTTATTTCTACCATGCCAGTGCTATTTAAGCCAACTGAGTGCAGAGGGTTAATTTAAAGTAGAACATTCAAATGTAACTCACAACTCATGTGTTTTCCCAGTCTGGATCCACTGTTTGAGCAGATATTCATAGTAACTGTCACCTCTAGCGCCTAGTTTAATTTCAGTGTTTTCATGGAAGTTTCCAGTGTTGGGGTTAATGAAGATAGGAACTAAACCATCAGTCTTCTCCAGTACATGGACATGTTCAGTCACTTGGAATGCTATGTCCTGCAATAATTAGGTACACTCATCAATGAACTGTTATAAAAACATTTCCTTCAACAAATGCTAACTTTATTAATACCATATACATACAGCCTCGTTTCCATAACTAGTCTTAGAGAAAAACATTATTCGATTCTCAACCACTGATTCTTGGGCATTGTGATCAGATCATGCAGTAAGCCTATCAAGTATCGATCATCAAAATTTGCCAAAGTAGACTAATGTTGTTTGCATCCACATAAACAAATACGTCTTTGTTTGTCAAGTGATTTTAAAATGAATACAGATGTTATTACTATATCCTTCATGATAATCTTCTTATAGGTTACTAATTTTGCACAGACAGACATTACAATCAGATTTACATTCATTTCTGATGGCTCACACAAAGGTCCCATATAATGAGTGCAAACTGTTTATAAAATTACTAATATATTTTCCAGAAATGTTTGTTTTAGGTTAAAAACGTTTTGAAAACTTCAAGATCTATTGCCATACTTATATCTTAGACCTTTTATGTTCACAATATGGTCCCAAATGTCTGAACGGGAGGGAGTCTACTTTAGATTTAAAAATTAGTTACCTCAAAAGAGTAGTCATGACAAGACCTGCTGAGGTCTCGGAACTCAAGCTGCAGCGTAGTGACCTCAGAGGTGCTGCTATCTGGCGACCACTTAGGTGAATGAGCAAGACGAGAGGCGAGGTTCACGTCAGAAAAGGGAATAGCTGAGGGTGACTTGGTGAAACATGGCATTAGTCTCTCTGCCAGTCCCATCTAATAAGGAAACAGCAATTATGAGTGAGGACAACTCTAACCAGATATTTTATTAAATTCTCCACAGCCTACACAAAGTTTCACAACTTCTTTAACAACATCCTTTGAACATAAAATTTAAGAGCTTATTGGTTAATCCGAGTGCCTGAAATTCTCTGAACAAGAAATTTAGGAGCTTATAAGAGATCAACAAAAGTTGCCTGTAAACATTAAATAATATTTTCAAACGGCCAAATTAAGGTGAGTCAGTGGTTCAGTCGGTGGCGTCACCGCAGACTTTGGGCCCAAGGCAGCAATGTTGTGGGTCCGGATCCTGGCCACTGCCGCTACTTTTTATCAGTACAATTCACTCTTTTACTGGCTCACCCCTTGCTTTGCTTAATACGTTCCGCACAAAGGTCCATAGCCTATGTGGACAGGCAATTGCAAGGTTAAAAGAGGTACCCAAGCTCTTGAAAAAAATGTAACATTCTTGAGCTATGAGAAGGAAATCTTCACATGGAGCTTCAATTTTGGGAGGTGTTAATTAGATATCAGCTATATGGGTATAACTAACATCTTAAACAAAAGTTGACCTTCTCTAGGCTAAGTTCACGACTTACCGCCCTCTCCAGGAACACCTCATCCCCTGAGAGATGGTAGGCACTGAGCAGACCACCCAGCACTCTAATGGTCACCTCAAAAAGATTCACGTCATGGAACTCGTTGAAGGAGACGGACAGTCTACTGGAAACCCAGTCCCTGCCTTCTTTGAACTCTGTAAAATACCACATGTTGTTAGTAAAATCACTTGGAAATCTCATAAAATAACTGTGTAATTGAGTAATATATCTTATTAATTGCACTGAGTTTTGTGAAACATTTATCTTTAGTCACTAAAATTATTATTATGAAGAGATAGTTTTCACTAATTAATTTTTTGCTCGGTTTTAATTATTAGCTTAAGTGGTCTTTCAGTAATTCACATCAGTGTTAGAGGCTCAAATAATAGTTATTTGTGCAACTAGTGAGAAAAGTGAGCAATTGACTCACTCGAGAGAAATCCTTACTCACGAGCCGTAGGCGAGTGAGGAATGGTTTCTCAAGTGAGGCAATTGTACTTTGAACTCGAGTTGCACATTATAATTTTCCTACAGTTACCATAAAACAAATAAATTGGTGAAGAAACATAACCTATTTTTACACAGAAGTGAACAATTAACATAACATTTAATGTGAAGTGACAAATACAACAGTACAACAGCTGACCAGCTGATTTACAGCCAGTGCTGCCAACGTATTTCGCGCGCATACAACGTTGCCTGCATGTTACGCGCTCACTATTTCGTTCCTTCACGCTGCAAATCTGGAGTGAGACAAAGTAATTAGAGTGAGACAAAGTTAACATTGTCTCACTGATGAGCGAATTGGCCACTTTGCTTTCTCAAATCAGTGAGAGAACATGTACATTGTTAGGTAACTGTAGGAAAACTCTGTTTTATAACTGGCAGCTACTTAAACATAGGAACTGAATGTTTGGTTTCATAGTTCTATAGTCCATGGATTGTCAAATTCTATCCACAGTTGGCTTCAACTCACCATCATGTAGTCCCATTATCCACAGAGTGTCCAAGCCGTCCACTATGGTGAGGGCCAGTCCGAACCAATCGTGGTACGTCTGACTGATAGGCTTGAGATGGTCATGTCCCCACGCATAACGCTTGTATCCTTTCCATGCGTGTTTTAACATGTCTACGATTGCATGTTGCCTCTCTGTTGTTGCTGGCGGGAACATGACAGGTTTCAGTTTAAATTCATGGATATTGTTCGCATCTGCCACCATTGTAGCTCTCGCTAATTCTCTTCTCGCATCATCCTGTTTTTTCTTCTCTTCAGCTCGAATTTTTTCTTGTTTCTTTCTCTCTTCCTCCCTAATTATTTCTAACTCCTTTTCCAATTCTTCTTGTCTCTTTCTCTCTTCTTCCTGTTTACGTCTTTCCAACTCCCTCCTGCGTTCTTCTTCTCTTCTTCTCATTTCTTCCCTTAACCGTTCTTCTTGCTGTATGCGCCTTTCTTCTTCTAATCTTTTTCTCTCTTCCTCTTCCCTCTAGAAAATATTGAAAATAGTAAGAAAGTTGTAGTGATACTTTTTTATAGTTTACAATGATGATTGATGCATACAGTAATCACTTATGTAATCCATTAAACCAATAGGTTCACGATATAAATCATATAAGGTAGTGTGCTCTATAAGATAGATATAGGTAGATATAGGTAAGATAGATAGGTACATCTATATAAGATAGTTTAAAATAAGTGTCTTATGAGCAAGTAATAAAAACTAAAAAGCAACTACAGTCAAACCTCACTAACTCGAAATCGGTGTAACTCAACAGTCAACAGTCCAGTTAAATAAATAAATTGCAATAGGTTTTTAGTTGTTTTAGAATTTGGAGCAGTTATATAGTTATTTATTATCAAACTTAACTAGCCATACTGACTCGATACTGGACTTTGACCAATCCAAATAGGCTTCATTATTTCCTATTCCACCACAAGCTAGATATTGTTTCAATGCTGAATAATATTCTTTGATAAGTGGATCGGTTTTACATATTTTTCTTGTATTTAAATAGTTTTGTTTATGTTATTATTTAATAAACAACAATACACATAAAATATCAAGGTTTATTTACAAAATAATACATTCCATTTACATTTTTACAGCAACAAACAAAGACAGTCACTCTCAAACTGCTTCCACCAGTTCCAACAATGTAGCCCTTTCCTTCCAACACGAGGTCACTAAAACACTCTCGCCACCTTCAGCATGGTTAAAGCTCCAGCTTCTCTTGTCCCAGTCAAATATCTATTTCCACCTGAAGTTCACAACAAGCAAGCAGAAAGCAACTAAAACTTCTGATTCAGAATAATTCCTACTGACTTGCTTTTGTTCTTGAAGCAATCCCTCCACTTCCTCTGGGGACATGGTTGTAGTTGTTTCTACAGGTTCTTCTTCAACATATTCTACGGTCGATAGATCTAATATCTCTTCCACATCTATTAATTCCTCCCCTCTCTGTCTTCTCTCTTCTTCTTCCTTCATTTTTTCCAGAACCTCCCTCCTACGTTCTTCTCTTTGCTGTTGAACTTCTCTCCACTCGTCTTGAAATAATTCATCAGCATCTTTCATTCTTTCTGCCATTCTTTCATTCATAAAATATTCCTCTCTCTTTTTCGTCTCTTCCTCTTCTTGTTCTTTGATTCTCTTTCCTTCTTCAGCATACTTTTCATTTAATTTTCTTTGCAACTCAATTTTTCTTTTCTCAAATTCCCTTCTCTTCTCTTCCTTTGTTTGCTCTTTTGTCTTCTTCCTATTTTCTTCCCACTGTCTCCTCTCAGCTTCTCTTCTTTCCTCTTCTTCTCGGTCTTTTCTTTCTTTTTCACGTTGTTTATGATGCTCTTCATGTTCTTCTTCCCGCTCAATATCCCATTCGTTGAACGTTTTCAAGTCCTGTTTTAAAACATTAAACATTAAAATAGTGAATTAAAATTGGTAACAGAACCAACATAAGTTTAACAGCTTTATTTTAAGCTTTGTGTAGTTAAATAATAGAACTATAATTTTCATTTTAAGATTTCCCAACAGGGTTCTCTGTAATATCTAAAATTCCGTTATCTTTTTAAGAAAACTATTAGTAAATCAAATATCTAAATAAAATATTTACTTTGTCTACTGCTTCTTCTAAAAGATAAAATCTGTATTTTGGTGCGGGGTCCAGATTCTCAAATGCAGGCTTTCATTAAATAATAAAAAAATATGGAATAAAAGGACATTGAAAACTTTAGATCAAATCTCAACCCTATAAATTTGTATTTAAACAAATTACATTTTATTTATACCCCACATCCTGGCTGTAAAAAAATTGATACCCAAAGATTTTCATCTTATTCTATTTCAATGTAAAGATTTATACAATTAGGGGATCCTATAACAAGGTTAGACTTACTAAATACTACGGTTCCCCCCAAAATACCCCATTAAATAAACAAAGTTAACTATTAAACATACTTAAGTGTGTTTTTCTAGTTCATGATGGCAAAGGATATCTATTTTATTTTGAGGTGAAATGGACTTTTCCTATTCTAATTTTTTTTACAAACCCTTAGCGTAGGAAAAGTCCATTTTACCTCAAACTAAAATTAACATACTTTGAACAACATAAACATAACTTTTAAGAGAATCTGAAATGACTTTTGTATGAATTTGTAATTTCTAATTTTGAGTATTGAAATATAATTCTCAACTCTATATTGCGACCACAGCTTTAAATTATGTTTTCCCTTGCATTTTAGAACACCATGCTCAAAATGAGTCGGAGAGCTCTACCCTATATGAAAAAAAACTACACCTGCAATAATTTTCATTATTTTCATTTTGCCTTATTTCTTTCAGATAAGTTGGTACTGTTATAAGTACAAATAATATTATTAACAGGCTGCTAGACAGACTTTGCTTATCATTTGTTGTACCAAGAGTCAATACACTCAGCTCATAAATTTGCATGTTCTGATAAGTCTGGAAAGTGAGTAATAAAACTGTGGTTCTTATAAACATCGTTCAAGAAACATCACCAACTGTTTCTTTTATTGGAAAAACTCCAACACAGAAACTAAATACATGTTGTGATCCAACATTTTTTAATAAGAAAAGTAATATTATACACTAAATTCATACCTGTGGATATCACATTATAGTATTTAAAGCAAATGACGGAATGAGAACATAATCAATAATAATACTATAATGGCCTGTTTCAAAAAGATAAATAGGTTTGGCTTGCAAATAAAACATTGTTAAAGAAATAATTTTGTTTAAAAAAAGTTTAACTACAAAGGTTAGCATTTTTACGGTTACATCTTGTACTGTATTGTATGGCAATGAATACAGAAATCAGAGAATTAGCACAGAACCAAAATTAAATATCTAGAAATTTATTTGCTGGGGGTTTTCGACTTTTAGGTAGTTTTACAGTATTAAACTGACACAAAGATGAATGAAGCATGCAAAAATGCTAAACTTAAAAATATAAACAACAAACCGTTCTTTGAAGGATAGCCCAATCAGGTGATTGCATAAATTGTACGTAAGGATCTTGGAAATAGCTGATTGGTGAACCATTAGAATCGTACATTATCTGTAAATAAACAAGCAGTTATTTTCTGACAAATTTTAAAACGTAAAACACAAAATACAATATCCTAAATGTTTAAACTGTTGAAAATTTGTGTTAACTTGGTTAAAACTTCTAAATTCAATAATTCTACGGATAAACAAATGCAACTCAATGCTTAACATTTTCTATTTCAAAGCCTTCTCAGGATATCTAAAAATATAACATTTCATGGCATTCCCTGACATTTAGCTTTGGCAGTGAGATTTAGTTTACTGTTCACAAAACTACGTTCTACTACAGCTTCTCCAATTTGCATTAGTACTCTTAAACCATGTTTTTAAAGCAAACTGGTAAACATAAATTAATTAAATTTACTTTGTCACAAGTTGTGTAAGTACTAATGCCTTAATAAGCACTTGGCTTATTTAAGAAAGTATCAATTTCCCACAATGTTGTTTAAATCAATTATTTTCACAGCTTTAAAATAGTAATGTCTAAAACACTATAATTTCTCTTAAAATTTCTTTACAAAAGTAAAATACAAGAAAATGAAAATTACTTACCTTAAGTTGGATAAAGTAGTATCCACCTGATGAACTTGTCACACCACTAAGTATTTGATAATCATTATTTTGCCTTATTAAAACATATTGAAAATATCACTAAAACCTTTTTTGTAAAATATTCAAAGATCTTATCGTAATATTTATTGGAAAACGAAAAAAAGAGAAAAAGATTTATTTATTTATCGCGTGAGAGAAAAAGTTTTTTTTTATATTCTTGTCCCGTAAATTTTTTTATAATCTGCTGTTAAAATATCTTAATCACCTAATAAGTAAAAGAAGTTTTTATAATTAAATTTTTTATCAAAAAAATGTTTATTTCACAACAAGCACTTGGTGGTGATGGTAATACAGGATGATCAAGCTACACTTTAAAAAACGTTTTCAGTAATGTTTGTATCAAATATAAATTTGTAACAAATTGGCCTAGCTCATTACTTTTTGAAAGTTGTTGAGAGTATTAATTACCAAAGCCAATCTAAAAATTAAGCTCTCATAGAATAAGCATTTTTCATCTTTCACAAACTATAAAAATAGTTTATAATAACTCAAGTTTTCAATAGTCATGCACATGATTTTAATTGTATAGGCCTAGTCCTAATCAGATATGTAGCCTAGTTCCTAATTTCAGTTGTAAACTAGAATTTGAAAACACAGGCCTACTTTTACAAAGTAAATTTCTAGTAATTTCCACTAGCTCTAAAAAAAACTCTGGCTGTTATAATATTCAAACCTAACGGAGACTTTTTAGGTCCATTTTTAAAGATTCAAGGAAATAAGTACAGCATTTTTCTTAGAAATTTATTAAAGCCTTGAGATCAAGAAAATTGTTTACAATGTCAAGAGTTACTTTTAAACACTTGAATCCAAATTTAATTTTTTTTTATCAATTATATGCTCTAGTAGATAGCTGCTTTAACTTAAGTTACATTTGCAAAACTAACATTAGGCCTACGTCATTTGATAGACATAAGAAAAAGTACAATTTCCCTAAAATATAGGATAGGCCTACGTTCCTTAAAACTTATCTAAAACCAACGATTTTCGCACAACACATGTAAAGCACTCCTCCTGACACACTAAAGTTGTTTTCATTCTGAGGCGATATATTCATATTGTGCCTAAGAAACCAAAAACTTTACTTTACCTGATTAATGTATGCAAAATATATAAGTAGGATTCTACTTGAAATATCAAAAATTAGTTGTAAAAAGTCATAATGAAACATTTGTTATTTAACTATCGTTATAAAAATAGATTGTGCTGAACAGAATAATTGTTTGAACACCCTTTACCAGCTACAAAAAAAAACATGATGAAAATAGCAGCAGTTGGTTTCAAATTGTGGATAGATTTATTTGAAGATTCTTCATAAACAATTTTAAGACTAAGAAAAAGTGAGCCTATTGCTAAGATTTAAGCGGGAGAAAACTTTGATTAAAATACATTATATTTTACTGCTTATTTTTTCTTACAACATAAACAGTCCAATCACTAAAGATATGAAAAACACTGGCAAAACAACAAACTTGGAAACTCCGATATGACGAATCCAGGAACAATAATTATTCTAAAGATTACAGTAAATGGATTTTACAAAACTTAAATTGCTGCTCAAAACCCGAGCACAAAGACCCGTCCCTTGCTCACCTCCTGTGCTGCCTGCTGCATTATCTGCTGAGGAGGCTGCTGCATTATCTGCTGAGGAGGCTGCTGCGGCAGAGGCTGATGAATCTGCAGCACCTCAGGTTGGTGCTCCAGCGCCACCTTTGTCTCCTCTAACTTGATCTGTTCCTTCAATCCCCAGTAGTAGACCAGCGTCACCACTACGGCCACCATCACCATGGTCACCAAGTTACGCTGGAACCTCGACAGCATCTTCCAGTGCTGCAAATAACAGTTAGATATTACAGTTCAAGATTAGCAAAAGTTATAAAAAAATATGACTGTTTCTTATACAAGTTTCTACAATTTTTAGAAAAAGGAGACAGATTTCTTTGGTTAACAATGATGCAAACTTACCCTCCAAAGACTTCTTCTTTGGGGCTTCTGGGCTTGTTCTTCCTCATTGTTGACAGCAAGACGCACATAGTCATTTTCCATTTTGAGTCCTTTTAATGTTTCTTGTTTGAGTTAAAACACATTAACAACGTAATCCAGCAATAGGCCTTAGCTATCAGATCTATCATCAGTCTTCAAAATTACAGCCACCTGAAATAAATAAATTTAAAAAAAATTAAACGATTAATTTTAATTGGTTTTAACAAAACGGCAAGCCTACATTGAATTCCACTTTTAAGGTACTACTCTTAAGGTAGGCCTACTATTTTAGGTACTTTTTAATGTCTTTGCATTTGTCTTATTAATTGTGTTTTCTCGTCTCTACTATACGTCAGAAAAATTACATCACCACAGAGCAAAAGCAATGCTTCAGACATAACAATAGCATGCAACATGACAACAAGCAATAAAGTAGCCCTCCCTTTCTTGAAGATCCCACTTTTTCACAATGTTAATAGTAAATCACCTGCCTTGCTAAAAATTTTGAAGGGTTTAGGTTGGTATTGACTAAATTTCCAAAAATAATTACCTGATTTTCACATGGATTACACTGTCACACAGTTAACTAACTACCCATATATTACCCTTTCAAACAGAAAATTATTGTTTTCTCCTAATGATTAACCACGTTGGAGATCTCCTCCCCCTAAAACCTGATTCCCAATGTATTCTCTAGTGAGTTGAGGGTAATTTATTGCTTAGGCTAGTTAGTATTAAATAGAAACAAGCAACTAAACGTTTCTGCACGGAAAAAGTTATAGCTTAAAAGAGTTGTAACTTCATATATATGACATTAAGTAGTTTATACTGATTTTAGAGTATTTGAGATAAGTTAAGGGAATCTATTGTAAATTAGTAGGCCTACACCGTAGCCTACCGATGTGGAATAATAGAGGCTCAAAATCGATTTAACTGACAGATTGAGTCATATATTTAATCCTGAATCATAGTTCTGCCTGAGGAGACTAAAAAGTAGCGCCAAATGTTTACATTATTGTTTTAGGCCTAGTTTAAGTTCTTCGTTAGATTAAATACTTTATTTTACCAGTCCATTCTATCCAGAATTAAGATTGTAATTCTCCTATGTTGTAGGCCTACATGGGCCATGTTTAAGGCTTTGTCGCGGCAGATAAAACGCTGACCCTGATCACATGTTTAAGGCTTTGTCGCGGCAGATAAAACACTGACCCTGATCACACGTTAAGGCTTTGTCGCGGCAGATAAAACACTAACGCTGATCACATGTTTAAGGCTTTGTCGCGGCAGATAAAACACTAACGCTGATCACATGTTTAAGGCTTTGTCGCGGCAGATAAAACGCTGACCCTGATCACATGTTTAAGGCTTTGTCGCGGCAGATAAAACACTGACCCTGATCACACGTTAAGGCTTTGTCGCGGCAGATAAAACACTAACGCTGATCACATGTTTAAGGCTTTGTCGCGGCAGATAAAACACTAACGCTGATCACATGTTTAAGGCTTTGTCGCGGCAGATAAAACGCTGACGCTGATCACAAAAATACTGAGCTGTTGAGCAGAAAAAAGGCTGCGTCATAGATGCATATGCTTGGCGGTAGAACTGTTATATGAATAGCATGACAGTTACCAAAACCAGCAAACTCATCTAAATGGCAAGTGTAGTGTGTGGTGGCTGTGAGGTAGCAAAGCAGATCTGCAGAGTCAAAGCTGTCTGTATAACAGCAACTGATGCCACTGGCTTAATTTCTGCCTCGTATTTGCTGTCAGTTTACCAGTCCAGATGCGGTATTAACGCTTTACACGCTGACTTTACAGAGTACGACATTACAGATAAAACACTTGTATATAACTTGCACACAGGAAAGTCCATTAAGCCTGGTGAGCTCGATGTGTACTGTACACAATGAAAAATCTGCACCGACAAAGTTGCCTGTACAACATGGGCCTTAGAGCCTCAGAGGCCATTGTAGTTAAAACCTACTGTTGATAATAAAATAATAAGCTAACTTAGTACTCTAGAACAGAAGGTGGAGAATGGTACCAAGTTAGGTTATTCATTGTTCTTCATATTTTACCCTATGGGGGATTGATGGCATCATTAAAACATAAAAACACTGGAATACACATAGGCTATTTTATGGATTTAACTAGGCTAGATGCGGTATTAAATAAACATCAAAGTTATTAGGTCTAGCCTAGCTGTGAGAAACATTCCTTTTTTCGTGATCACTGAAGTTAAATCAATGCTAAAACTCAGGCATGTGTTAATGTTTGGCAGGGATATAAGTGAACGAAACTTAATGTATAGCAGATGAATTAGAATTGAATAAAAAGACTACGTTGGGACACAAGCCAAAAATACATTTTCAGGTGGGGGCAGGGAGTAGTGGTGAGAAATTATTCTTCAAAAGGAAAGTGGAAGGAAGGAAAAATAATTTCAAGAGCATGAAATGTTATGTTTAAAGTCAAGACAGACACTGGATTCATTTGGACTCATCACTCAGACCAAATATTCCCTGAATTAAATTAACACACTAATAACTAACTATACATCATAGTATACTTGTATCAACATTTCCTCTTTGGATCAAAGACCTTCAAGAATGCATTCCTTTTGTCGGCTTAAGTTATGGGGCCTCCTTTGAGCTCATAAAGGACACATTGATAAAAGTATTGATTTGATGGCCAACCATTAGGCCTAGTAGTTTTATAATCAATAGTCATTTTTTTCAAAAAATCTATGTTGTTACATTGATTTAGTAAGTTAGGTTACAGACCGATGTTTTTGTAACGTCAATGTTTTGGTCGAACATCGATGTTTTAGGTCAAGTATTGAGATATCAATGTTTTCCTTAAGTGAATTATAGTTAACTTAAGTTAGTAGTTTTGATAAAATTTAAAAATTGAATTTTGTGTTTATTCTATTGAAAGGCTGATTAAACATTGAATCCAAAAATATCGCAAACTGGACTAGACTTAGACAAGTGTAGGGTGAGTGGATTGTCGGGACTTAGGTACTGTATTAGACGGAGGCCATCCTTATACAGCGCGCTGCGGCGGTTATATTAGGTTATCATTAACAAAAAGTATGACTCATCTGTTATCGTTAGAATCATAACAGAACGAGGAAAGTCCTACAAACATATTTATGACAACCCAACCTAACATAACCGCCACAGGAAGCTGTAAAATAAGGGGCCTACGAATAATATACAAAGTACTGGGATAACTAAGTTATCTTACATTTGTGATGTGCTTGTTCTATAAATTAGGTATGCTAACTTACCGTACATAAAAACCGTCAGTTTACATTTGTAGGAATAAAATTCATAGGCCTAGGCAGCACTCCTGCTTTCCAGCATGATAGGCCTACTGATATTTCGGCTTGCAAATGTGAAAAAGAAAACTGCCTTATCTAGAACGTCTAGCTAAGCAGCATAGACTAACTAACGCAAGGGAGTGTGTTTTCAATGCTATTAGCCATGATAAATTAATACCGGTAAGTTAAATTAAGTTACTTTGCTGAAACAGTACAGCACAGAGAACTAAAATTCATTTCTCTTATTAGGTTATCTTATACTTCTCTATGAGAAAAGAGAGCAGATGAAAAACTGGAAAAAAAACATAGGCTAAGTTAAATTAACATCTCAATGTTTTCGCAACGATGTTATTAGTAGGTACATAAATGGTTGACATTGATGTTACCATCGATGGTTGACCTATCGATGCTCATCCCTAGCAAGCAAATTGAAAACAACCAAAGGGTACACTTCCATATCTGTTGGCACAAACAACCGAATGAGTAATATTGATTATTCGATTGTTTAATTCGATATCGTTTGGTTAGTTAGGTTAGGTTAACCTTACCTAACTAACCAAACGATATATCGAACAATCGATCGATATTTTCATTCAGTTGTTTGTGCCAACAGATATGGAAGTGTACCCCAACCAAAACCCAAACTTCTTATAGAACTATTATTCTTATAGCCTAGGCATTTGTTCCACGTTAGAGTCCAAGTTTATTTTTCATTCAAACCTGAACAAAAATATGCTTATTTTTACTTACGGTCTACATTTGGTACCTTACAAGGCAATGTTTTGGGCAACTAGGCCTATCCTAGCCTACATGTCTATCTTACCTAACACTCTCTCTCTAGTCTACAATGATGAGCCGGAGTCTAGCCTAGTCTTCTAATATTGTATACAAACAAACATAATACGCCTATTTGTTTGCCTGATAAATATTACAATACCCGTGACATTACACACACCGGCGTAAACGACTTATGAAAAACACTTCCTATAAAAACTTAATAGCCTAATGGGAGAGTTACAATTATTCAGTGTAAGTAACAAATAAAATAATCACATTGTTTTCCTACACTGCCTCAGGGCTAAAAAAGTTAACACTGAAATAAAAACGAAAGAACAGACAAATAAGACGAGGGTCGAGGACGAGGACGAGCGAGACTGTCACCACAGTCACAGAGATCGGAAGATTCACTCACATTCACAGTTTCAGTTTGTTTCACAACACGAAACGACAGAATTGAGAATATTAGAATCAGAATAACAGAATACAGACAGAATTGAATTGAGAATTCAATTATTGCTACTACCCATTCCATTCCCAACCCAAATGATTATCGTTTCAAAAGCAGCTGACGCTGACATAAGGTTAATTTTTCATTTTTTTTAGGATGCCACCTGTTAAATATTTGCTCTGACATTTAAACGGCCAATACATTAAACCTAAGGGAGTATGTTTTATCTATGATTAAACTTTATAGTGTAGTGTAATAGTATATTACTCAAATAAAACATCCCCCCTTGAGCCAAGGCCACCTTTAACTACAGGCCGCGGCCTGGTAGAATTGGCAACGTCGCAACGGCAAATGGTGTTGTTTGGTGACAGACGTCCCATAAGATAACAGGTGGTCAGGTGACATCAGCTCATTAATTCGCACTTTATTGATTTAAATTTAAATTTATGGACATAAATTTATTAAAATATTTAAAATAAAACATACAGAATTTAAAACCGAAACAATATGAGTTAAAAAAAACTATATCTGTACATTTTAAGCGGAGTCAATATTGTCATAGCGTCATAGTCCAGTAACTAATCTTTCGTACCTAAATACAGGGTGGCGCAGATGGATTGGGTGGTTTTAAAATGCTTGTCAAGCTGTCAATTTTAAAGGTATTGGATTGAAATAAAGTACAAAACGTGTAGTTACAATGGAAGTTTATTGAAAAATAATTTGTTAAGTTAGTTTTTAAAAATTACATCCATCAAATGCCTTCCTTCTCGAGCGACGCATTCTTGGGGTCGGTCCTTGAGGTTCCGCATTGCTCGCTCAAGCACATCACCAGGAATTGATGTGATTTCGTTGTGAATTGCAGCCTTCAACTCCTTAATGGTCCGGGGTTTGTTCATGTAGACCCTTGCTTCAGGAGTTGAAGGCTGCAATTCACAACGAAATCACATCAATTCCTGGTGATGTGCTTGAGCGAGCAATGCGGAACCTCAAGGACCGACTCCTAGAATGCGTCGCTTGAGAAGGAAGGCATTTGATGGATGTAATTTTTAAAAACTAACTTAACAAATCTTTTGTCAATAAACTTCCATTGTAACTACACGTGTTTCACTTTATTTCAATCCAATACCTTTAAAATTGACAGCCTGACAAGTATTTTAAAACCACCCGATCCATCTGCGCCACCCTGTACAAAAATACCATTGGCTGCTTCCAAACAAAACAGCCGTTACCGTGGGGTCCCAGTTTATCGACATCCCAAAAGATCGACACTGAAATAGTCCCACTTTGTCGACAACTCAAAATGTCGACAGTGTCGGTAATATGGGATGTCTGTAAAGTGGGATGTTGGTTATGTGGGATGTCTGTTATGTGGGACGGTTGTGTAAATTTTCCCACTTTATCGACACGCAAAATGTCGACAAGCAAAACAGATCGACAAAGAGCGGGAGATTCAAATTGAAGGTGAACAGCTCTTGCTGAACAGCTCGGTTGAGTCCGGATGCATATGTAATGGAGAGTCGTTCTTTTTCTTAACTCCGAACGACTTCTATTCACCGCGCTTGCAGTCTCCTTCAAATTTGGCAATGCTATCCCAACTATCATGTGTATATAAATTGTGTTCTGTTGTTTGAAGGCTTTAAAATAATCTGACATTTTGTCAAACTTGTATTATTATACCATAGATGAAGTAATTATATTACTTCATCTATGATTATACTGTTTTTTTTTCGTGGAAGAAGGTAGTTAAGACTTGCTACCTAGGCCAAATTTTGCTTGAGGATGATTATGATATCCATCCAAAATTTTTTCAATCATAAATTTATATGAAATAGAAATATATAACGATATAGTAAATAGCTTTTTCATTTAACTTGCTAGCTTAGTGTTAAAACAGATCAACCCAAATAACAATTTTACGTTCTCCAGAACTTACATCGGAAATGAGGAAATGAAAAACTGCGTTAATTTTCCTAAACAAACTGCAGATGCTTTGATTCTTTTGTTAACCTTTCCATTACCAATATGGCAATCCATAAAAAGCATTGACAACATAACATTTTGCAATTTCTTTCCAAACTATTTTGGAGAGCTTTAAAACAAATTATTTAGTATATTGAAGCATTGTTATGCGCCTAATGGTTACGGAGAAAACTCAAACAGTTTAAAACTTAAACGGGCTCGAACGGGAAATTTCGTTACAACATACTGACTATACATCACTGCATTTACCTAGCAGTGTAGCCATGCTGCGGAAGGAAAGTTGAAATCAGGGGCGTAGTCCAGCTGAATTGAATTAAAAATCATTATTTTTAGCCTTAGCCAATCTATTACCGACCCTCTACGACCAACACCAAACTATACGTGACATTTGTTGTTCTACTACTTTTACTGAACCTCTTAAATTTTATCTCTAAGGTAGTATGTGTTAAAATGAAATTGTATTAGTTAAATAATCATTTGTCTAAAGAAATTTAACTTAAGTTAAATTTAACGTTCGTTGGTACCATTTTATTAAAACGAAAGGTTCGTAATTGTTTAAAAGTTGTTATTTGAGTGGAAATTAAATCGTAAAAGAAATTCATAATCATATTCTTAATTCATTTCTAAAGATTTGGATAGTTAAAAATATACTGTAATATGCTAACTGGCTAATGGTTTTTCATGATTTTTCACAGTTAGTAGGACTGCTGTCGGTGGACACGGTCATACCGATTATGACGGAGGGTGAGGACAATTGGACCTGTGTGTCACATTATATCCAGGGTATTCTCCGCGCCAAGAAGATCGACCTTGACCGGGATGCGGTGTAGGTCATTAAGAATCTAAATGCCAGAAACGGTGCGAGCCCTGTGGGCTTAGGTCACATGTGGCCTGACTTGAAGTAATGTGACAAACAATTCCAGGTCTGTGTCCAACAGAGTAGAGGGGGTTTTTTAGTGAGTAGTCTGATAATTTTCAGGAGTCTCACACTACAGGCTGGCTACCTGTGTGCGTAAAAGCATTTTCCCTCCTCTCCCTAAAAAAAAAAATGGTTTTTCATGATCTTGTATTTCTGTAGCAGTCAGTCTTCCAGTCACTTAACTGCATTCTCCGTAAAAAATATAACACTTTATAGATAAAACATTAAATTTAATGTACTTTTTCCATAGGACGTCATTACAAAATGTAACAACGTCTATATGAGTTTTGCATGTGTCATCATAATGAAAACCAGTGGCGTAACAAATTTTTACGGGCCCCCTGCAAACTTATTTTTTGGGCCCCCCTCTCATGAGTTATTTTATAGACCACCGATACAACATAATCAAACGCCCCCCCCCCCCTCCCCCCAGACTTATTTTTGGACCACCGATACAATGATCAAACAGATTAATCATAAAAAGAGTGGTAAATAAATTATGAAAAAATATTAAATAAAAAATTAAATTATTCAATTATGGGTTATGTTCCATAAAAGGGTGTTTTAAGTATTTCAGTCGTGGTTTGATGAAAGTGTTACATCACTACATTATTATATCAATATTAGTGTTTGTAAATAGTTTTGAAATCAAATAAAAAAAAAACTTTATTTTCCATCGGTCTATCAGAATGTTTATATCAAGGAGGTTAAAAATTTTGCATTTAATTTATCACAGATGTTATCCATATTTATTAGCCTGATAATTATACTAATTCGTTAATTACAAGGCAAAAATGTGGTTCGAATTCCTCTATTAACCCCCATAGGCCCCAGTTGCTTTTGCTGTTTGGCTATGTCTGCATTGGCTAATTTGTGGCTATCTCTGTGTCTAAGGAATAAGTCGGCCTTGGTCCCTTTCAAAACTAAAAGGTTGGGCCACTCATCCTACACTCATCTCCATTAATTCTTGGCTTAAAAATACCTACATTGGTATGGTCGCAAGTTCAAAGTAAAGTATTAAAGTCAATCGATCAATTATTTAAGATGGGGACGCCACTATGTGTGTATTTTAACCCAAATATGAGTGAAGGTTGAGAAAGTATTAATTTATTTGGTTAGTTTAATCTTTGGTTATACTGGTTAAACTTAAAATAAAGCTGGTTATTTTAATAGATTGACATACTTTTTATCACAGGCTAAAATAGCCTATTGCATTTTTTATTTTATCTTTGTATGTCTTTGTATGCGTTTTTATCTTACAACAAATGTCCTTAGTATTGGTTAATTGTGAGGTAAAATAAGATATGGGCTAACAAACAAAGTCATTAGAGTAGCAGTACCTATATTGTATATAACAATATACAATCAATATTAGGACAAAACTAAAATGTAAAATAATACAATATTAAAAGCCCCAGCCAACGTTCATGACTCAAGGCTCCAATGTAGGTAACAAAATGTTTGCAGACGACATAAGCAGTGTACGAAATCACCGAGAAGTAAAATATTTCTCTGTGACGAAAGTAAGATTGCATAGGCCATAATAATCAAGGACCCACGTTATAACACGTTAAATTTGTTACCCTAGTTCGTTATCACTGAAGAGGTCTAACGAAATTAAACGACAACTGATAACAACATATTATTAATAACATCAATGTTATTACTTGTTCAATACAATTATTAAATGATTGATATATTACATTTAAATACTTATGAATGAACTCAAATTTTTCGGCCCCACTCGTCTCACGCGCCTCTCTGCTCACCGTTTCCCGCTCACCGGTTCGCGGGCCCCCTCAGCTCCCGGGCCCCCCCCCCCCGCATTGCGGGCCCTTTGGGCCCTTCTGTTACGCCACTGATGAAAACTATGTTTGCGAGGGATAGACATCAAGTACATTTTTTTTCAGAGGCTTTTTGGTCGATGCGCCATACTTCCTTAATAATATTCATCAATTTCGAAAATAAAGGCACCACTTCAAATTTTGTATTAACTGCCACGCTGGAAAAATATTTCAAATACTTACATTTAGAACAAAAATAAATGTTATATTACAGTATCTCCATTCCGCCTTTTTTACTGTCTCCCCTATACACAGTATATGGAGTAAGTATTGATGTAGGCCTATTTGTTATTGATGCACTATTTGAATCTATGGTATTGTTTGCCAAAGCTGT